AGTACAGTTGAACATATATTTCATTGGGTATAGTAAAAATTGTACCCGCCATATAATAAAACTTTGTTATCATAGACAAGAGATTGTATAGTCATATAAAACTTGAGAATCTTTCCTTATATCAGTTCCAATACAATAGTTTAAGCTGTTATAACATCGATTTGATCATAACCTTCACTTGTCATAAATAATGCGTGCGAACTAATCCTGCACTCTTATCGGAAAAAATACTCGAGTAATTCCTATGCTAAATCTAATACTTATTAAGAATTTTCATCTTTGAAAAAATCTTAGTTATAATAATCGATTAATAATATTTATTTTTAGAAACGGCATTATCATGTGCATGTATAGATTTACTAGAACCACGATCAATGATTATGACATTAGTAAATGGTGGTGCTCATCTAGATTTTCGAACACGCCATGGTGGTCTAACACCACTTCATAAATCGGCAGTACATTATCGAAAAGAATCTATTGTTGTAAGTTTTCAGATGTTTTTTCAAAAACAAGAATAATATTTTTTTAATAAAAATTAGACACTTCTCGAACTTGGTGCATCACCAAATGTTTTTGATGAAAAAGGTTTAACACCACTTTATGATACAGTTTTAAATAAACAAATTGAATCAATAAATGATTCAGCATATTGTTGTCAATTATTATTACAAGATCATTCAATAGTAAATTGTCGTGATGATTATTTATCTACTGAATTACATCAAGCATGTCGTCTTGGTCTTGTTCAACATATTGAACATTTACTTTTTTATCGTGCAGATATAAATGCAATTAATGTTGCAGGAAATACCCCATTACATATTTGTGCTGCAACAAATCAAGTAATTTTTATTAATTTAATTTGAAAAAAAAACCTAATATTTATTTTTTCTTAATAGGAAGCTTGTGTTCGTGTACTTCTTTTTCGTGGTGCTGATACAAATATTGTAAATAAATCTAATCAAACTGCTTATGAACTTGCATTAGTATCACAAAATTCTTCAATTGCTTCAATTATACAATCACATAAACCCGATCATGTTGTACCATTTCGAGAAGCACCATTAATTAATCCAAAACGTCGTTCTATATATATTGAATTAGATAAACATCGAACACGATCATCATCAACAACAACACCATCATTATCATTAGCTAGTCGATCACAAAGTATGCCTAAATTAAATGGTGTTAATCTTTTACGTCGAAGTAATTCACCGATTAATGAAAATTTTGGTCAACAACATCCATCAAGTCGAAGTTCATCACCGAAATCATTTAGTGTTAATAGTGATCATGGTTTTGGTAGTGAATGTGCATCACATTTATCTTCACGTAAGTTTAAACGAAAAAAAAAATAAAGTTTTTAGAAAATTTTTAATTAAAGATTCACCAAATGCTGTCAATGGTTGTTATACATATACACGAAAACGTTTATATGCAGCAGCACCCGGTCGAAAATGTTTATGTACGAAATCTTATCAAGCAAATTCATCGGGAGAATTATCATTAAAAAAAGGAGATATTGTTGAAAGTAAAATTCAAATTATTTAATATTGAAAGAAAATAATAAATTATTATTCTTTAAATTTAGTTTTAAGTGTTGGTGAACAAGGATATTTAGAAGGAAAATGTAAAGATACTGAAGGATGGTTTCCAAGTAATCATGTTCAAGATATTTGTGTTTTCAGTAAGTATCATTATACGATAATGACTCTTAACATGAATTAGTTAATTTGTTCTAATAAATAAAAAAAAACTGTTTTTTAAGAAAACAATGAAATAACAAATGGTGATACAATTGTAATTAGTCGTGATGCTTTATCTGCATTAATGATAAGTAATGATACAAATACAGCACGTACTGTAGTTTTACAACGAGGAAAAAAAGGTTTTGGATTTGTTCTTCGAGGTTCTCGAGGTAATTATTTTTTATTTTTTTTTTTATTGAGTAAATATTTCTTTGATAATTTAGTTGTAGGAAAATTATTTCAACCAACACCATCATTTCCAGCTCTTCAATTTCTTGATAGTATTGAAAAAGGTAGTAATGCAGATAAAGCTGGTCTTAAACAAAATGATTATGTACTTGAAGTAAGTTTACATAATAGATATTTCTTATTTTATTCTTTTAAATAAAAAATAGATCAATGGTATCAATGTTATATCGACTCCACATGAAGAATGTGTTAATTTAATAAAACGAGCTGGTGATACTTTAGCATTGAAAATTGTTACAGTAAATATATCAACAATGATACATTCTCAACAAGAATCACATTATGCAGCATCACAATCATTACCATTTCGACGTAAAGGTAATTTTTATTAATAATTAATAAGATGAGGAAAAGATGGAAAAAATATATATATATATTTTTCAGCATCTATTCGTCCCAGTTTTGATAAAACTTTTGGTGGTATGTCCATACATTTTTTGTTTGGCATGAATATCTCTTTGTATACCTTTTTTCTAAATATAACTCTTCATCACTTGCTTTAGTTTTTTCATCATCAAGTAAATCTTTTCAATCACTGATTATGAACAAAGCAGAGCATAATATCGTGTTAGGTATCTCAAATAAAAAAATAAATCCATCTAGTTGCATGAAATTCTCACTAAAAATAAAACAAACAATAGAAATTCTTATGATTTTTGATATATTTTACTAAATCGTTTTTATTTTTTTGCAGAAGATTTGGATCGAACATTAGCAGAATATGAATATGGAAGTATGTCGGAAGCATATGTATCTATCTCAAAACAAAATATTGAAAATATTAATTCTGGATCTGCATCACTTCGCATGAAGTAAATTTTTTTTACTAATAATGATAAAATATTTTCTAATAAAATTTGTTTTTATTCAGAAGTAAACCAATGGTACCTGAACGTGATTCTTCTCTTTATGAATGTTTTACAAATACTCAAAATCAACATGTTTATCAAAGATTTCGTCCACTTATACCGGCCATAAGTGTCCCAAATTTATCATCAATAACAAATATTCGTTGTAATTCAAATTCATCATCAAATGAAGCGGATGAAGAATCATCATTATCATCAATGAACAGTAATCAAATTGTACAACAAACAAATTCAACTGAAGAGAATGGAATTGGTATTTATATGACACCCTCATTATCTTTAAGTACAACGAATATGTCAACATTTAAAACAAATAATATTAATAATAATAATAATAATAATCCTTTACCTTCAAAACCAAGTGAAGTGAAACGACGATCAAATAATCGTAAACAAATCTATGCAACAATTACTTCAAATAATAAAACAAACGAGAATGAAACTTCGTCTGCTCCTCCACCACCGCCTCCGCCACCGCCACCACCATTTCCTATAAATTTTAATTCAATCAATAAAGTTGAACAGCCAACACCGTCTGTACAATCAAAACCAATTAAAGTTGAATCTATTACAACAACAATAACAACAAATGATTTTCAAGTGCAAATTGAACAAGCAAAAAATCGTTTAAAAAAAATCGATAAAGAAACATCATCGAAAACAATAGTATCTTCAATTAAATCTAATGGTCATATGAAATCAATAAATAAAAATAATTCAAGTAATTATTATATAAAATTTTAAATATTTTATATTATAAAATAAATTGTTATTCTTTCAAAATCAGAGAAGCACTTTAAATTAATATTTCATATTGCAAAGATATTGAATATTGATGTTCTTCAAAAGTACTCTACTTCTTCTTGACATATACATATACATTAATATATGTGTTCATGTAATTCCTTCTTATTGTTATGTAATTCAGTTACTATTTCATTTTATATATATGCGATTATGTCATATATATATATATGTATGTAGTTATGATACTTGTCAACCGTAAAAAAGAAGCCGGAATATGAACGACGGAAGTCTTATGAAAATTAAAAAAAAAAGGTCGTTATCGTAGAATACTACTTATTACGTATTGGAATTATAGTACGGTTAAATAAAAGAAATCATAAGACGATTTTATTTGTAGAAATCTATTATTAGATCTTTTAAGAATGCATTATTTTTTCTATCTTAGCTGATGTAAATCATTATCGTTCATCTGATGTAAAAAATATTATAATCGAAGAATTAACTCCTTCGACTGGATTTCCTCCTCCACCCTCACCTACAACTTTACGTCGAACAACAGCAGCAGCTGCAGCAGCAGCGCAATCATCATCAACACAAAAGCCATCATCACTCGATCCTCGATTAGATACTAATTTTTCATCTGTAATTGCACAACGTGCAGCAGCAGCAAAAGCACGACGTCATGAAACTCCCATAGAACTTGACTATAGTTCAAATGGTTTACCACCATCAACAACATTTTATAATAATTGTATTACAACAAATGGTATACAAACAAATAGTAAGTTAAATAATTCGTATTAAAGAGTAGATTAACTGGTTATTTCAGCTATTCATCATCATCATTATTGAATTATATGTACAATTTAATGCTGTAAGAGATTCGTGTGTATATCATGGGATATAATTACTTCTTTTCGGGATTTATTTGTATATATGAATTGCATGAATTACTACTAGATATAAGAAAATAGAGAATCGATTTCTTATGCATGGATATATATATCTATATATGTTTTAGTTATTGTCGTTGTGTGTTTATCTTAATGTATGATATTGTCGTACTAGAAATCTATATATTAGAGTTACTCTTACAGCTCTTTGGGATAAATGATTTATTAACAGAGATAAAATAACATTTGACAATTAAATCATTTTGTAAAATATTTTCTTTTCTCTTGAGAAAAGATAACGCACTTTCTATACTAATAAATTCATAAAATAAAATGAATTCTATATTGGCATGTGCTGGGCTTCTATCCCTTCATTCATTCATATACATATATTCTTATAACATTCTGTTTGCTTTTTTTTTCTTTAATATTTATCTTTTTATTTTTTTAATTAATTTTCATAATTTTAGATTCATCACATCCACAACGATTTAGTGCAACAGCTAATCAATTATTAGAGAATCTCAAACGTCGTGGTGGTAATATATCAGCAGGAGATTCTCTCGTTAAACATTATAATTATTAAACTATTTGCTTTAAAAAGAAAATATGTGTGTTTGTTTTTGTTTTGCTGCAACGAATTTTGTTTCAATGCATGTGTTTTGTGTATAGTTGTTTTTTATCAGTGATATTCACAGTCTAGATGTCTGTGTACTATTTGAAATTGTCAGCTTTGTTTTGTTTTTGTTTATATTTCTATATTTGCCTTTGTTTGACTTTTTCTGCACTCGCATCTTGTTCAGTCACCTTACACATTCCGTGCGTTTCAATCGGTTGCTTATTATAATATAAAGAAAAGATATACATTTAGAAAATCAAAAAATTAATTAAATGTATTATGTCGTATAAAACTGTAATATTAAATAATAAGTTCTGAACAAAATCTATACAATCTGTTCTGTTAAGAAAAATTATCATACAAGAAAAAACGAAAAGTCTCACACTCTATAAATCATATATTGATGAAGAAAAAATAATTTATGCCGTTTTGTATAAAATAAACGATAGTATATCATTTTCATAATTGACTTTGATACTCAGATAACAAATCTGTCTATTTTATATCTTAGGATGTTACCGAAAGTATCAACGAAATATACTTTTGTATAACTAGAGTACTAGTAAAGTCTTTTGAACATACGGTAATTTTAAAATCGATTGTTTTATATAATAGACTCTCTATGTCATCAACTATATTCATTTCTTTAATGAATAGTTAATATTATTAATGCAATTTTATAAAAGGGAATGACATAGTTTGAGGGCAATAATACATTCTATTAAGTAAATTAAATTTTGAATAAAGAAGTATTTTATTCATATTGTTTAATAAAATATAATGAAATAACGAAATGAATAAGTGCTACTGTTTATGAATGAAATTTTTTTACATATATAAGAAGAAAAAAATTGACTTTTCTTTCATTCTTTTCTTGTATTTTCTTAAATATTACATTCTGATGACGTTGATTCTCTTTTCCTTAGTGCAATTTTCAAGGAAATACTAGAAAAAAAGTCTTAATAAAAATAAAATGTTTGACATATTTTATTATATAAATAAAAAAATAGTTCTATTGAAAGCTTTCAACTTGACAAACGTAAGCAGTAGTAAACCATGTTTATATCAGTTAATATCAATTAAAAATTTAGTTAATAATTATCATATAAGTAAATATGATAAAGAATGTGATAAAACTAATAATTGATGATGAAACATTTAATGTCGTACCAATTGATGTTGACATTGAAGCTGCATAAATTGATTTTGTATAACTTTGAGCTGGATTAGTTGTACAATTAGGTTTAGCATTTGGATAATTAGCAGGTCCAAAACAACCAGTAATATAAGGATATGTTGTTGTAGCAAAATAAGCATAATTACCAATCGAATCATAGAACATACCATTACAAACATCAAAACCTGATGTAACTTGCTGACCTGTTGAATTATATGGACCATAAATAACATGACCATCTTTTGCAATACCAATAACTGTTAAATTTTTATATGATGAAAACATTTTAAGTGAATAATTTGCTACACTATTTAAGCATCCAATGTCTGGTCCACATCCAGAAATATTACCTGCAGGTGGATTAAGCATACATCCACTAGCAACATGATAATGATATTCACCACTAGTAGGAGCAGGATGAGAAATACATTGATCAGCTCCTTCTGGTGAATAACCAGCTGGTGGATAGAATGGATCAACAAGATTTGCACTATTAGCATTAAGAATCTCTACACCATCGACAGCTACACCAGCTAATGCATCCTGTGGCGTACTAATTTGGCTCCTATTATATGCAGATGTAGCTGGTACAGATCCTTGGTTTGTTACATTGCATAATAGCGCACTGACTGCTGCAGTAGTTGTTGGCGATTGATTTGGTGAATTAACGCTAACATCAGGATTGAAATTAACTTCAAAATCTATATTAAGTTCAGCAAGTTTTTGAGTAGGAAATACTATCATACATCTTCTTGGTAAACCATTAGATTGAACTCGTATGCGTACTGTTGATCCATTGATACATGTTACACAAAGTTTTTGTTGAAATACGCATACTCCATTAGTCATAGGCATAGGACATGAATTATTTCCTATTTGTGGGCATGTAACTTTGAAACCATTTGTCATTCTGATATCAGCTACTGGTCCATTTGTTACAGTTGTTGCAAATCGAGCAGCTATTTGTAAACAATTTTGATAAGAATTATTTGCTGCTCCTGATGTAAGACCAATAACAGTTAATAACAAGAAAATATGGCTTGAGCAAAACATCATTATGAGTGTTTATTTGCCTTACTTTCTTTTTTTTCTAAATGAAAGTAAATGATAAAATTGTTTCGTTATTTATATTGAAGACAATTTCTTAAAGTAACAGAAAAACAAGGAAACACATATCAAACGGCCTACATCTGCCAAGATGTTACTAAAGCAACACATGACAATTGACATTTTTGTTAATTTTTCTGTTTTTCTTGTTAGAAAAAAACGATCAAGGAGTATTGTAAAAAGGTGTACTCTCTTAAATAATTTTACTTGAGAAAACGTTCTTTTTTCTTTCCTGTTTAAAAAATTAGATGGTTTTTGACGCACCGAAGCGATGACAGTGTTTTTAAAATATTGCGTTTTGAATGCACGGTTATTATTCAATTATTTGACTGTGATAAAACAAGCTTCAGCGCTTTCAAATTATGTAAATAATGTTTTTATTTGTAGATAAAGACGTTGCCAATATCAATAGTTTTTTCATCAGTTTTGTTGCTAATATAAAAAATATGCACACAATCTTGTTCAAAAACAAAAACAAACATAACAACCAATTTTTCAAAGGAAATAAGTATTACATTCTGAGTTTTTCAAATCTATGAATTAACTTACTTAATATTTTACATATAAAGAATAGGCAGAAATCTTTGAAATACATTTTTATACATCACACGATTTCTGATAAAACTATACAAGATATTATTGAGTTTCAAACGAGAGCTCATTGTACACTACTTTTATAGAATAACTGGAACTTCGTCAATGCTAAAAGTGTTGTTTGGTGAAAATCCGAATTTAAGCGCGCATAAAGTCAATCCAATCTTGGAGTAATAAAATGATTAAAATTGAATTAATTGCTTTTCCATTTTAGTCATCTATGAATTTTTTATTATTGAAGATCTTTATTTTTTTTTGTGTATAGAATTAATTTAAATATTTCAATAAATCTCTGTATATTTAATTAAATCTTTGTGTTGCATACAATATTACACATTATATTGTTGTACAAAATAAAAAAAAGAAGAAAAGAAAAAGAGAATATTGTCAATAATATCTGTCGACTATAAGAAAGAAAGAAAGAAAGATAAGATCTAAATATATTCATCATGAAAATTCTCTTTTTTTTCTCACCTTTTGAAATTTATCTGAAAAGAAAAGAAATTGACTGAACACACAACAGAAAGATTTAAAACAATAACAGCAACAACAACAAAAAAACGAACTATTGTTTACTATCTTCTTGAAACATAATAATTGATGTTGCTGATGATTGTTCATCTTCGACTAGATTGAGCGGTGATCGTGGAAGATAATGAGATGTTGGTGAAGATATTTGTCTATTTTGAAAAAAAATATTTTCACCATTTGATGATGTATCTGACGATACTAAAGGTATAACAACATGTTGTGTACGTGGACTAGAATAACAAAGAAATAGGAAAAATTGAAATTTGGCTTTGTTTTATTTTTTTCTTACCAAAGTTTATCAAGTGGAATGATACAATTATGAAAATCAAGTTCAGATATAGGTTCAGAAATCACAATAATATTTTCTTTCTTTTTTTTCTTTTTATTTATATTAATTGTTGGATTTTTTCGTTTTTTCTTTTTTGGTTTCCAATCATCTTCATCTTCATCCTCATTATCAAAATCACCAGTATATTCTTGATCTTCATTTACTATTCGACGATGATTATTACTTGAATTTGATGTTGAATCTAAAAAATCTATATTTTTATTTGAAAAAAATTTTCTTTTTTATTTATCGAATATTCTTACCTGTACAAGATTCTCCATCTTCTGCTATACAATTATTTCCTTCAACATGTTGATTTTCATCTCCATTTGATCGACTTTCGTCTGATGACGCAGTTATAGTCATAACTTGATCAACAATTCGATGTTTTGCTTGACGTGATGAACGTCGACCAACACCTTGAGAAAAAGAAAAAGAAAAAGGATGTGTCAATATATTTTTGTCAGTTTTTATAGAGGAAAAACCTGATGAGAACATTCTTTTTTGTTCTTTCTCTCACCGAGACATTTCGCTAGATGATAAGCAAATCGTATGGCTATTATATTTGATTGACCACAATGAGGACAAATACATGTCTGTTTTTCAATAGGTGTTGTTGGTGAATATGAAAGTGGTATTAAAAAAGTTTTTGGTTTAGTTCCATTATTATTTATTTCAAGTTGATCTTCAGGTATTCCTTTAATTGATGAATGAATATCATAAACTAAATCAAGAATAAGATCATCCAATTCATTATCAATTATTGTTTGAATAACTAAAGATAACTCGTCCATAGAAAATAAAAATATTTTATCTGTAAGAAGAAATAATTGACCATTAGTAAAGATCTTTTTCTTTGCAAAATAGAGAGAAAGAGATACACACACACACACGCACGCACGCATACACACACACAAATACACTGATGATAAATGTTAGACAAACAATGTACAAACAATGAGACAAAAAAAAACAATGTACAAATTGTTTCTGTTTTAATGTTTAGTCCTTTTTTGGTTTTTCTATCCAGTTATTGATAGGGTTGAATTGTGTACACATAATTTGGATTTTCACCTGGCTGATCATTTCGGATACAAGTTACAACACGAACCTAGAAAAACAAAAATATAAATTATAATAAAAATAGTCTTAGAATGATTTATTGAATTAGTTAACAAAATCTTAATTGTTTAAAAATATCTTTCACAAAATGTCGTTATTTCATTATTCTTGATAAGATATTATCAGTAAATAATGCGTATGAGATATATTCCTTTTGAAGGTAAAATTAAGCGTGAGTTGGTTTGGATAATTATATAATAAAATTAATGAGCATTCAGAAACAAATAGGACATTCTTATCTATAATGTTATCCATAATCTCAATCACTATTACTCATTTATCATATATAAATCTTCATTCTTCTATTTAATTAACTAATTTTCAAAGTAAGATCTTACCGAATGTCCATAAGGTTCAAGTCCATTGGGATTAGCTGTTGCACCAGCTGGTTTCGCTGCTATCGCTTGACCAGATAACGGAGCTGTAGTTGCTGTTGCTTGTGGTTGAACTTGTACAGTTGTAGCAACTTGTGCTTGAGCCATTGGTCCCGCTGTTTGATTAACTTGTGCTTGCGCCACTTGCATACGTAAATCATCAGTTAATTCTCCACCCATAGTCATTGTACGATCATATTTTGATGCATCACGTACTTTTGTTAAAAATGTTCGTAATGGTTCAACATATGAATCAAAACCAAGTGTTAACATAGCCAAAATAATATCTTCACCATTAATTGTTTTTCGTTTTTCTTGAAGACATCGATCAGATGCTTCACTTGTTATAAATGAAATAAATTCGGAAACACATCTATTAATTTAATTGCAAAATAGATCTATTAGAAAAGAAAACGAATTTAAACATTACTCTTGTATAGTTTCTTTCGCATCTTTAGCAATTTTTCCTTTTTCAGGTACACCTTTTTTCATAATCTTTGCAACATTTGCAATTGGTAAAAATCGATCTTGTTCACGCAATGGTCCAGTATATCTTGGTAAATCATGTTGATCATTTCCATCATCATATGAACTGTCCATTAGATGTTGTTGTTGAGATGGTCTACCACGTCCACGATAAGTTGATTGTTGATGATGACGACGTTGATGATCATCATCATCATCATCTTCTTCTTCATCAAGTTCATCATCATCTGAATAAGGTGCATCTTCTTTTGTTGGATGATATGTTCGATCAACATTAGTACCACCAGCTGATAATCGATGTATAGTATTATTTTGATGCGTTGATGGTGGTGGACGAGTACCTTGTGTACGACGACGATGGATTGGACCATCATTAGAATTGCCAGAATCGTTATCTGTATCCATATTAATTTTTGTTGAAGAACGATTCGAGGGGGAAGTCGACCACTGGTCACACGAAGACAGAAGAAAGAATGAATGGAGCGATTTATTAACAAATAAAGGACGAGCAAGCAATAGAGAAGTGATTATTCATCTTGGATTTTGTCCTTATACAACCAATTATAGGCCTCTAAAGTAACCTCTCCTCATTTTCATTATTTACTATAAAAGAAGAATTTAAATTAAATTTTAAAAAAATCAAATTTAACAATCTTATCGAAATAAGATAAGATCAAAAACTATAAGAATCTTTTTTGGCATATAGATGTCGTTTTAGACACGATACAATGAGTCATAATATTACTTTAGATCGGTTAACCTGTATGTATGTGTTCGACGGTTATTCAAATGGACGTGACCTATTTTTTATTTTATCGAAGAAGAATACACTGTTGCATCATTCTTTCTACTGATACCATATATTTGATAGCTAAAGTTCATATCTTCTTATTATTATTATCAATTTGATGTAAATAATTCAAGAGCATAGAACTACATATAATATCCATTTAAATATTAATTAAAAAATAAAAATATACTTTCAACATCTTGAGCGTGTGGGTGAGAGTAAGAGACGAATACACACCGATATTCTCACAAGTATCAATGAATAAATTCTTCTCCATGGTGATATCGAACGAAAGCAAGAAAACATTGAATAGGATCATATTAATAAAACAGAGAAAAATGAAAACGATAATGTCGAATAGAGCAAATACAAAAACACTATAAATTAAGAATTTATTTGTCAATGATAGAATTTTTTGTTGTTATTTATTCGATTGTTTTAAATAGACTACAATAAGAACACTAATAACAAAAGTATTAACTTTTAAAATAGTTCCTTTTATTCCATAGATATTTTCAATTACTTTTGGCATAATATGTACTGTAGAAATATAAATAAGTATACCAGCTAATATTGGTAAAAATATTTGATATAATCGTAGTCGTAATTTTATATTCAATGAAAATTGAAGATCAAACCAGAAAAGAATTGAATTAATAAATCCTGCTAATAATTGATATCGAATTATCTAGATTAATATAATATGTTTATTATTACAAATCAATTATTAAATTTCTTTTACCTTAGATGAAGTCCATCCACTATGAATTAGAATAGCATAACCATAAAATACATACAATGTTTCATAAATAATGCTAATTATCAATAGAGTTGAATCTTAATTAATAAATAAAAACTGTTTAATTTCAATATATCATAGCTTACGTATTAATGATTTTGATAAAAGAATCGAGAAAAGAGATAAATTATTTGTATATTTATGTAAAATATCCGCCAATAAAAATAAATAAGCTAAGATATGAATAGGTGTTGAAGTTGATATTTGTTCATTATTGTCTTTAAGAAAAGAAATCTATATTAGAAGAATTTTAATTAGGAAAAATCTACTTTGAAAATATCGATGAAATTTTTCAATTGTAAATGAAAGAAGAATACCAGTTAGAATAAATAAACCAGCATGATTATTATGTTGATGATCAATATGAAATTGATTTTCATTTTCATTTGATTTATTATATAAATCAATTGTAGATGGAAATAATCGAATGAATACATCAGCCAATAGACCACCTGATGCAAAACTAAGAAAAATGATTAATAATAATTGATATCGTCGAACAAGTATTATTGAATTCAGAAGAAATATTATTATAATAGGAATTAGATTTATCGATACTATCGATAAAAATAAATTATTTTGAAATAAATCGAAATCACTCATATCAATAAATGATTCGTATATTGCATATTTTCTTTGACAACGTTCACAAATCAGAATTTGATTTAATAACAATAATTAAAGTACATAAAATTAGTAGAAGATAAGGATTAATGTCCATGAATCTAAAAGAAAACTATAATATAAAATAAGAAAGATTTATTCTGAATGTTTTAGTTTTTTTTTCTTTATCAGTTTATGAAGTATATCGTTCTTTTCATTCTTAATATCTTGTAAGTTTAAAATGATATATTACAAGATAATAATAATGTGTTTCAAGTGAATGAAATGAAAATAATTTGATCGAGTTCCCCCATGCAATGCATCATATTTATTGTTAACAGAGTCAGCGGTCTATTCTATAGTATTGTTTATGTACATCTACATTTACCTGTGTATTTTATATTTACTTGCTTATCTTTTTTTTTAACGACATACTTCTTTTGTCGAAAAGCTTAGCTACAATTGAATAGAAATATTATGATATACTTTTTGATTTACTTTCTCATGACAACAGTAACTGTAATACATTTATCGAAATGAACAAAAATAGACGATATTCGACTTTTAGCACGTTAAAATATTTCAGCGGATAAAATTTTTCTAAGATTCCAACAGTGAAAATCGCATTTAATCCATTTTAATTACAAACTTTGAGGAATGTGATGATGTTTTTTACCGAAAATAGATGTGCCCGGCTAGCTCAGTCGGTAGAGCGTGAGACTCTTAATCTCAATGTCGTGGGTTCGACCCCCACGTTGGGCGCGATTTTTTTTTCCTTCTCTATCACACTTTGATGAGTGTCATATCTTTCAGTTTCCTTGCATAAAAGTATTATAACACAATTCACATTATATTAATAGTTGTTCCTCTATGCTTTAAAAAATACTGATTATTATATTTTACATTGGCAACAGCTGGTCATTGCTTTTTTTCATATATATCAAGTTAATAATATGACTTTGATAGTTGTATCGATTAATTAAAACTGAATTCATACTAAACAGTTTCATTGATAAAAAAAAGACTATTTTATAAACTGGAATATGAATGAAAGTTAAGAAATATATATATAGCAATAGTCATACTGATTTTATCTGAAAAATATTTATACATATATTATTATTTGCTATCAAATTATCCAACATTTCCACTGTGAATTTGATCGATTTGACCCGAGAGAGTATAACCAACGATGTCTTTCTTCTACCATCAAAACCTGCTTCATCCGAGAAAAAAAATACCTTTTTTAAAAAACATGTTAGTTTTTCTTATACTTCTTACGATAGTTATCTGTTTAATTATTCATTATTTATGGTATATAAAATCTCAATATGAATATTTTAAACAACATGTTCTACTAGGTCCATCGCTTGTACTTTTATTTGGTCAACTCATTCTTATTCATGGGAATTAGAAAAATGGACAAAACAATATGGTTCAATATATGGATTATTTGAAGTTTCTCGATCAATGTATGTCGTATCTGATGTTGATTTTTTTACAATAAACTTTAGTAGAAACAAGATAGAAAACTGCTGTTTTTCAATCTTTGGTACGAAGAGATGAAGGCACATAGAATCGTATGTTCCAGGATTTTCTCATCTATTTTTTGTAAATTGTTTACATCAAATTTTCAATTATCAAGTATAAATTTAAACCACTAATTGAACGTCTAAAACGTGCGAAAGGCTGAAATGAATAATATGCATATTTAGTCGAACCTCTGATACGACTTTTTTCATAAAAAATTCAAGAAAAATACTTGATAAAGCAATGTTAGAAAAAACTGTAAGAGACGATCCGATGCATCTTCATTTTGTCTTTTCAGCGGTGACAATCACAGTTGTCTATCTTATTTCTATGAACAATTATTCTACAATTACTCACTATACCATTGGTGGAAGTATGAGATATGTAAACAAAACAGATCTTATGAAAATTTTTATAGAAAGAAAGTTTCTGAAAGATTTTTATAAAGTAAAATCGGATCTCCACCGCTACTTTTTGGACTATCCTAAATTTGTTAGTGGTTTCAATACTATCGATAAACTTTGGTGTTGCATATTACATTATTTTCTAACGAAAGGTTACGAAAAACATTTTTTATGTGAATAACAGAAAAGTATTCAATGAATCTTTTCTCTTTTTTAATCTTACATTTTTATTTAAGTTCATTTCAAATAGAACTTCAAGCCAATTTCAATTAGAAAGATATTATTAATTTTGATCTTTTCATGTTAGTCAACAACTATTCAACAAATGTTTAACCATTAGTTAAATAAGCGGAGAAAAGTTTTCATATCGCTATTCTAAAATTAGCAAAACAAACCACAATTTCGCAAGACATAAAACTATATAGTCAATAGATTATATCGTACTAGAAGAAACATTAATCAAGTGAAATATGTATAAGTTTTTAAAAACTGTTATATTTATATATGATTTTCATGTTGATTTATAATTTTAGTAATTATACTCTATTATACAGACGTAGAAATGAATGTTAGTTCGTAATCATTAGTACATATTATATGCAAATAAGACATCAAGTTGAGAAACAAAACATAGCAATCTTTGAAATCTATTACGTATTACTAATTTAAAGCTGAAATATAATTGAATGAGTACATTATTATGTACTGATTGTCTTTTGTTTTTGAATAAACTTTATAGTATCTAAGAAGTTAAATTTCATTTTATCTGATGTAATCTTCGTTTCTTCGCTCTGTCGTGATTGGTTCATTTCTTCTGTGAATACTAACTGTCGATCGGCAGTGGTATGATACGACTGTCTTCAAATTGGTGAATATTTTCCATTCTTTCTATTTTAACCCTTTCTTTTCATATAAACATGTGATAATTACAAGAAAAAGAGAAGAGGAAAATACTTTCTTAGATAAATATAATCTTGCATTCATAGTTTTGCCATTCATTCGATATTTAGATTTACTTTTTCACACACTTTTTTCTTTATAGATTATCGATGGCGTTCAATGATAATGGTATAACAATTGAGGATGCATTTAATATGCAACCGAACATTAATGGCGCTATTGATTTCGATAAAACTGGTATGTAGTATTTTTTTTTATATTACGGATTTTGATGAAATGTGTTTATTTATAGTTGATGCACTTTCCTGTCTTCATATTCGTGCATCAAAGTCATTCATAGAAAAACTTTTCTATGAATCAGATACTGATGGTGAATATTTTATTATTTTCTCCTAGTTTTCATACAAAATAATAATCTATTGTTGTATTTCTCTAGGTATTGGTCGAATTAACTTGGACAGCTTTCGTTGTTTGGTAAAACAGCTGCTAAATCAGCCAATACATAATGACGATGATAATGAATCGGTCAGTGCTTAATGTTATATAAAGACAATGGTAGACCATTTCATTGACTAGTCAACGAAGAAAATAAAAAGAAAAAAAATGAGTAGTATATATATGCTCTAATTTTTCACATATCAACACACAATTGACTAGCAGCTTTTCTAAATAACTCACAGCATTGACATGTCAGAGAAAATGGTAGACATAAAACATACTATATTGTTTCACAGTTTTCGCTTTATCAAAATAATCCGTTTGTTTATTTATTTATAGGACGAAGAGAGTATTGCTCAATCAAATAGTGATCAAGCCAAAGCTCTTCAAAAGATTCTTGTAATTGCTGAAACGAATGGATCAATAACTGTAGCCGAAATTCATGCCATCGTAAAACAAATGACAGGCGAAGAATGACAATCAACTCGATGATTATCTGAAAATGTGAACATTTCGATTCGATGTAAAAGTACACGAAATCGATACTTTTTTTTTATTTGAACTAATAAATGAAAAAAGAAAGACTTTTTTTTATTAGCGAGATAACGACCCTCTGACCATGCCGGTCCTAAAGGGACAATTTTACTAGCACCACAAAGCTTTTCAAAGATTAAAAAATATAAAAAACAAAAAATAAGAGAAATAGCTATACACCACAAATATCGTTCATACACATTTGATCTACCTACATGATGTGTCTGTATTAAATTTTCGAAAAGGATAATATTATCAATGTATAGTAGTAACATCTTTCTAGTATAATGAGTTAAGTTTGTGTAGATGTGCTTATTAGAGAAATTCGCCTCATCCATATGATTTTAACCACAGCTATGACAAGAGAATGTAATACATTAACAAATATTTGTGGTCATAAAATCGAAAAAGGAAGTATTATTCAACCAGATGTATTTACTATTCATTTGGTATAGATGCAAGAAATTGTGTTGGGATGCGATTTGCTTTGATGGAATTGAAAATGTGCTTAGCACAATTACTTCGTCCATTTATTGTATTACCGAGTAATAGAATTAAACAAGGTTTTGAACATGATGAAACACATGTTATTCGTCCCAATGGAGTATATATCAAACTAGAGAAACGTTGAATCTACAATTCATTCAATTTGTTTTGTTTTATGTTTGAAAGCAAAGTCAATAAAGTTTTAATTACGAAAGTACTAGAAATTGTTTTATTTATTTTTCAATTGATTAATAAATATTTTTTATTATTATTTTCGATATTGAAGTTAGATGATTTGTATATTTCATCATCGAAGATCTATCAAACTAGATAGTTGATATTACTTACAACAATCCTAAATTAGTAACAGAGATCCTATTTTTCTCTCTATGAAATTTCCATAAGATCTGTTTTGTTTACATGTCTTATGGACTCGACTAAAATGCATATTATTCTTTTTGTTTTCAATTTGTAAGTTCGAAAAATAACTAATTCTTCGTATAAACAAGTTAAAATAAACAGTTACAAACTATGAATGAAGATGAAAAGAACGAAAAAGAAAATAGGACTATTGTAACATGTGAAACGTTGTAATCGTGCCGGACGAAAGAAAATGATACTATCGATATTGTATAGATCATGTTTAACTATTAAATGTAAATAAGAATTGTTACTTTATCATCAGAGATAAAGATAAACAGCTTTAAATGTATAATATTGATGTGTTGTTGTTAATATTAAATATCGTTTTATTGAAAACTACAAATAGTGATGCTATATTAAGTAAGTCAAAAAAAATATAATAAGAAAAATTCTAACAATTATATATTTTAGATTCTATAAGTATATCAATAAATTCTTCACGAATCTCTCAATCATCATGTTCAACTTATTCTCCTATTCCTTTAATAGATCCAATAACAGTAGATATTAAAACATTAGCAGAAGATTTATCAACTTGTCGTTATTCATCATCTGATCTTGTTCGTTGGTATTTAACTCGTATTGATGCGGTTAATCAACAAGGTTCTCATCCACTTCATGCAGTTATTGAAACTAATCCTGATGCACTTGAAATTGCCAATGCACTTGATCAAGAACGACAAATAAATGGTTCCAGATCAATTCTACATGGAATACCTATTCTTATCAAAGATAATATTGCAACATATGATAAAATGGAAACAACAGCTGGTAGTTTAGCATTGGTTGGTTCACGTGTACCACGAGATGCATTTGTTGTTCAACAATTACGAAAAGCAGGTGCAATTATTCTTGGTAAAGCATCATTGTCAGAATGGAGTAATTTCAAATCAGAAAATGCAACAAGAGGAGGCTGGTCTGCACGTGGTGGATTAGCTTAGTAAATTATTTTTAATCAACAAAAATAAAAAATATTTAATATTGTTATAGTTCAGCTTATGTCGCTAATGGTGATCCAGAGGGAAGTAGTAGTGGTTCAGCTGTTGCTACAAGTGCTGGTTTATGTGCAGCAGCTTTAGGAACAGAAACTTATGGTAGTATTGTTTCACCTGCAAGTCGTGGAAATGTTGTCGGTCTTAAACCAACTGTTGGTTTAACATCACGTTCAGGTGTTATTCCAATCTCACATGATCATGACACAGTTGGACCTCTAGGTAGAACTGTTGAAGATGTTGCTCTTCTACTTGGTATAAGATTAAATTATTTTCTCGTATGATTAATTACAAAAGAAATATTTTGCTTTTTCATTACGTAGAAGTCATACAAGGTGTTGATAGTCGAGATAAAGCAACACAACAACAAGGAATTGTTCGTCATCAAAATTATACACAATTTCTACTTGGTATAGAAGGACTTCGAGATCTTCGATTAGGTGTTATACGTGAAGGTAAGCTTGAATTAATTTCAATTGCATAAAACTCTAATACTATTTTATAGGAATTAATATAACTGATGAAAGGCAAAATAGAGTAAATGAAGCTATCAAATTAATGAGTATTCATGGGGCAACTATTATTGATCCAGTTAATATCACTATTATTGATGATGATACTTTATCAAAATATATAGAATCTCTTGCATCTTATAATTTTCATGATGATATTATAAATTATTTATCAGAACTGAAAAATACTACAATACGATCTCTAAAAGATATTATTAAATTTAATATTGAACATGCTGATAAAGAATTCGATTCGAAATATTCTCCAAATCAAAATACGTTTATTTCTGTTGAAAATAAAACAAATATGACTAATAATGATTATATGAAACTATATAATAAAACTCGATTAATAGGTGGACGAAACGGAATTGATGCTATGTAAGTAAATTATTTTGTGAAACATGAATTTAAACGATGTTATGATTGTCTATTTAATTATTATTATAAAACTAGGAGCAGAACTATCTGAAAATATTCATTCTCATCTTATTGAGTTATGACATCTAATTAGCTAACACTTTTTAACTTCGTGTTAAAAGAGTTGAATCATGTTCTATAAGAATTATTCTTGTTTTTATTATAGATTAGCTCAATATAAATTAGATGGACTTATCATACCTGATACTGCACACGAAATTACTATATTTGCTTCATTTACTGGTTATCCTTTGATTGTTGTTCCATTAGGTTTTAATAAATCAAATGATGAACCCTATGGTTTAATGTTTGCAGGAACTGCATGGTCAGAATCAATGCTTTTACGTATAGCTCATGGATTTGAACAAGCATTTTCTGTACGAAATACTGTTCGACCAAAATATGCTGAACAAAATGGATATATTCTTCAATTTCTCTTTAAAATAATTGAATTTTTAAAAAAATACAAATTAATTTGAATATTGTATCACAATTTTTTTTTGTTACAGCAAAAGTATTGATAATAATAATAAAAAAATGATGTACAAATAAACAGTGAACTCTCATGTTAACATAAACATGCTTTATTCTCTGGGCGAACAAATTGAATCAAACCACAAGTAATAACAGCTTCGTGGTATTGAGGGTGTGTCTATAGACGTGGATGTTTCATACCCATCGCAACAGCTACCCATACTCACTCGAGTAAAAGTTTGAAACTCATCACAAATTAATGGGTTCTACATCCTGCTGCCATCTGGAGAGTATAGTTATCGATGTCGATCAATGTCTAATCTTTACCTAAATCCAAACTTACATTATAATATTCTCTCATTACGAAAACATCATAAAAATATTTTGTATTTTTATTTGAAATTAAAAAGAAATTAATTTCCAGTTATAGTCCACCTATTTAGATAATATATCAATTTTATCAATGAAATTTTCTCATAAAAAAATTATTTTTAGATTACTTTTACTACTGAGTAATGTTTGTATTAGTCATTGAGTTATTAAGTTTATATTTATAAAACTAGATAAGAAGATTATTCAAAGAGATGGCAATGGCAAATAACAAAACATAATATTTTACATGTAATAAAGACAAAATAGCATATTCTTGTGAAGGATGTTCAAAAAAATTTTGTTTAATACATTTAATAGAACATCGACAAATATTAAGTGAAGAATTAAATCATATTATTAATGATTATAATCAATTTAAACAGAGAATCAATGAACAAAAACGAAATCCACAAAATCATTCATTAATACAACAAATTGATCAATGGGAAAGAAATACTATTGAAAAATCCAAGAAAAAGAAAAAGAATACAGAGAAATTGTCACTGAATTTTCACAGATATGGTTTAATGATATTGAAAAGAACTTTAATGATTTTTCTGAACAAATTCATGAGGAAAATGAATATAATGAAATTAATTTAAGTAATAATTAAAGTAATAGAAATTACAGAAGAACTAATTAATCCATCAAATATCTCTGCTAAAGAAGATTCACAATCACTTATTAATCAAATTTCAATTATTTTATCAAAAAGTAAGTTTTTAAGAAATTAGTTCTAAAAGAAAAAGTCTCATTTTCTATAAATTTATTTTAAACAGACATAGTACGAATAAAAAAAACATTGAGAAATTTATTTTATTTATTCATAAAAATAGAAATTAAATCTTTCCATACGTATAAAAGATTTTCATTGTTTGCATATGTAATCTTTTATTTTTCTATTTATATTGAAAATGAATTAATAGCAATGAAGTGTGTTGAAAGATAAATATCATATCTTATTATTCAAATAAATAATTTAGAAATTAGTGAAATAAAAATAATTTCAAAAGATTGAACTTCTCAGATTTTATTTTCTAAATTAAACATATTTTATCGTCTAATATGAAGCAGAGTAAAAACTTGAATGACTATATTTCAATGTGAAAATCTGCATAGAGATGATAGATTTATTCATTGTACGGTGTGAGTGTATTTTGGTGTTGCTAAGTTGGATGTGTGTGAATAATTGAGTTCAACTTTCAATTTCGACACTACTGCTTCTTGTTTTCATGAAAGTCTTTTATTTTTATCATTTTCTAGAAACAAAATTCAACAAATGGAAACAAAATGCCATCATTGTGGCTGCTGAAAATGGACGAGGACAAGAATTAAATCAACTCAATAGTCTTGGTGGAATCTTCATTGATAAAAACAAAAATATTTTTATTGCTGATTGTTTTAATTATCGTATTGTTGAATAGAAATATGATGCAAAAGAAGGACAAATCATTGCAGGTGGAAATGACAAAGGTAATCAAATGTATCAATTATATGATTGTTGATCAACAAAATAATTCAATCATCACTGCTGATCGTGGGAACAGCCGAGTGATTCAATGGTTGAATCAAAATCAACAAATTCTCATTGACTATTATGGTTTGGCAATGGATAAAAATGGATTTCTTTATGTTTTTGATTGTATAGAGAATGAAGTGAGACGATGGAAAATAGGAGAATACAATGAAGGAATTGTAGTGGCAGGTGGAAATGGAAAAGGAAATCAACTCAATCAATTTAATTGTCCTACTTTTATCTTTGTTGATGAAGATGAATCTGTTTATATATCAGATAAAGACAATCATCGTGTGATGAAATGGAGAAAAGATGCAAAAGAAGGAATAGTTGTGGCTGGAGGAAATGGTCAAGGAAAAAAGTTCAATCAATTTTCTTATCCTCAAGGAGTAATTGTTGATGATTTGGGTCAAATCTATGTGGCAGATATGTGGAATCATCGAGTAATGCGTTGGTGTGAAGGAAAAGAAGAAGGTGAAATTATTGTTGGTGGAAATGGACAAGGAAATCAATTCAATCAACTGAATTTTCCCAAGGGTTTATCTTTTGATGATGAAGGGAATCTTTATGTTGCTGATTATTCGAATTATCGAATTCAAAAATTTGAAATAATTTTATAAATAAACTTTTGATTTTGAAAGAAAGAAAAAAAAATTTATTGAATAAAAGAACGAAGAAAAGTCTTTTGGAATTTTTTCCTTGAAAATTGAACTTAATTTCATAATTTTGATTAAAAATTTAAAACAAATAAACGTTAAATTCTTCATATTTTGTTGAATTTTGCGGAGAATAAGAAAAGAAAACATTTTGTATTGTAAATTAAATTAAATAGAAGTTATTCGAAAAGAAGATTTTATGTTCGAGAAAATTTAAAAATTGTTCGAAAACGAAGAGAAAAGAAATCTTCTATGAAAAATTGAAACTAAAAATCGAATTCAAAATGAATTATATTGAACAAAACAAATATTAAAAAGAGTTTCGTTTTGTTCTTGTTTTTTTATTGAAATTTGATGAAAAGGATTTGAAGGTGTTTTATTACTTAATCTATGTTGACAATACAAAGGAGAATTTCGTAAGAAAAGCGTCTTATTAGAATAACTAAAGAAACGATCGAATAAATAATAAAAAAATATTTCTTATGAAATTAAAGTGAGTTGAATTTGATAAAGATTGAATAAAAATGATTAAGTTCCATGATGAAATCTATTTTGTCAAGTATTTTTCCATTCGTTTACCAGTGGTATGTTCAGCTATGCAAAAATGTTTTTATTTTTAAAAAATAAAATGAACAATATTTCTGTGATTTGAGACTTATATTTTTGTAAATGTGTTCAAAAAACGTTAGTAAAGTTAGCAGTATATTCGAGTTTTTCTTGATATACGCTTAGGAATTTGGAAGAGATCTCTACGTGTTGAACAAGAGATATCGACTAAGAATGGCCAATTTCATCCAAAAAACTGGGTGCAGATCGTTCAAAGATAAATATCCAAACTGACAATCTATATACACACTTACACCATTTTTACAAAATCTGAACATATAAACTATGAAAAAGAACATGTAGAAGATCGTTATGTTTGAAATATGAAAGTGAAAGAATGATAAGTGTACGAGATATAAATTTAGATGATGAATATACTTGTTCAACATATTCTTCAGTTAATAAATCACAATTAATATTATTAGATATAAAAAAATTCTGATATTATTTCGCTCATATTATTAAATCTATTTATCGTAAAACAGATTAAAAATTTACAAGTTAGTTTCATTTTATATCTTGTGATTATATGTTATAGATATCTGGGGAAAAGCTATTAGATTGAAATAGTTTGTTATTCATAAAATGATAATCCATTTTAACTTGATTATTTGAGTTTTGTTTTATAATTAATTCAATATCATAGTCAACTTATAACAAAACAATATGTATAAATTATTAACAAAGTTTCATCTCATGTTGTAAATAAAATGAAGCTTAATAATTATATAAAATTATTTCTACGTATAATTTTATTTTCTCCTTGTATATTTTTTATAATTTGCTGCTTATTATAAAATGTTTCATTCAACAAATAATAAATGTAAAACAAAAAATACGGTGAGATGTAATTACAAATTTAGGTGTGGGTGGAACGGGGGGGGGTATCAGTTTGTGCATAGATCGCACCCACACCCGCCCATCTAGGCTGATGATTATTTTTGAATTTTTGTAGAAATAAAATAAACGCTCACGAACGCGTTAAATATTTAAAATGGTTATACAGAAAGGAATATTTTCTTTTTTCTCAATAAAAAATTCGCACGTGTTAATTTGTTTGTTCTTTCTCTTATTTCTTTTCCTTACCCACACTTGCAGAACAGTCGATCGTTCTTTTTCTAGTTAGTAAAAATGTACATGTGTCCTTGTCTCGAGCATCATTTATTTTCTTTGTTGAGTCATATGATACAGTCATGAGAAGGATTGTGGAGAATTATTCTAAATTTTATTTATTATTTACAATGGCTCTTCTAGATTATGCTCAACTATGTTATAATAGACGTAACCAACCAAATTTTTTCAGTAGGATTGTACCTTTATTGCATTTTTTTT